CTTGGTTTCCAGCCGTGTGCCTCAGAGGGGCCTTGTATAAACGGGTACCCGGTCCATGTTTCTGGGCTGGCTAATGCAGATCTTCCTCGCCCGGCCCCAGGCACCTGCTCCCCTGCCTCACCCGCTGCCACTCTGCCCCGGCCCTCCATGCCAACTGCACGGGCCTTCGGTTTCTTCTGTGGTGCATGGTACTGCTCGCCTCATTGCGCATGCCCCCCCGCCTGGTTGAGTCCTCTCACTTTCAGCTGCATTGTCCCAATTCAGGGAGCCTCCCTAACCCCTCACCTTCCCCACCCCCCAAATTCTGAATTAGATCCTCTCTGGACTGGATTAAATAAATACATTATGGAGCATCCATTCAATAATACTAGGTGGTCACTTAAAAGAATAAGATGTAGCCCTGGCTGGTGTGGCTCAGTGGGTTGAGTGCCAACCTGTGAACTGGAGGGTCGCCGGTTCGATTCCCAGTCGGGGCACATGCCTGGGTTGCGGACCAGGTCCCCGGTGGGCACAGGAGGCAACCACACATGGATGTTTCTCTCTTTCTCTCTTCCTCCCTTCCTCCCCCTCTCTAAAATAAATAAGTAAGTAAATAAAGTCTTTGGAAAAAAGAATAAGGTGTATCAGTCTAGTATGAGGAAGGAGAAAAGCAAGCTGCAGACCAGCATGTACGGAAAGTGATCCCATTTGCACACGTTTTTTTAAAGGATGTGTGTGCTGCGGCAGGCAGTTCTTTTCAGTAAGTATATCCCAGAAATTGTTGATCATGATCACCTCTAGGGGGACAACTGGGGCTCATATGAGGAAAGGACGTTTTTCATTGTGAACCTTTCTGCAGCAGTTAAACTTATTGCCACCTGTGATATTGTCTTTATCTTTAAAAATAAGACAGTTAGGTCTCCCTGTTGTGTGTAGCCACAGGATCCAGGTAGCCTCCCTGCCGGTGCGTATTTGAGTTTATTTGCTCACTGTCTCCCCCTACACCAGTGCTCCGCGAAGACAAGGGCCACGTCTGTTTTATTTGCTGGTGTTACCGGCACCACTTAGCCTGGTGCCTTTTGCATAGTAGGTGCTCAGTCAGTATTCCTTGAATGAATGAATGAATGAATGAACGAGTGAACATATGCCGTTTCCCCAGCATGTGGTTAACCGAGTCACCTGCAGGGCAGGTGAGCAGGCTGAACAGTGCGTGAGGGCAGAGGCTGACGTGAGAGGCGGGGAACACCGACCGACTGAAGGAAGGAAGCTTGTTCAGTCCGAGGTGTCGGAGCCGGGAGAGGGCGGATGGTCTGCGTGAGGGTGGTGGCCTGCGTTGGGGGCGCTGCCTGCTGGCAGAGCTGAGCTGAGGGCTGAGGGTGCCCGCTCCCATGCACTGGGGGTGCAGCCCCCGGCCCTCCTCCCCTCTCCTGGGGTTGCTGCAGGAGCCCAGCCACCTCCCTCTCCCTGGGGCCGGTTTACCAGGGGTGGTGGAGAGTGAGTGTCCGGGGCCCTCTGCCATCAGCACACTCTTATTCTGCTCCGCTGGGCCTTATTGCAGGAAAGTAGCGGGTCAGGCATATGACGGGGGAGAGACTTGGCTTATTTATGGCTATTGATATCTAGAGAAAACCCACGAACAGAGGACACCGAGTCTCAGGCAGAGTGAAAGCTGCGCAACTGCAGGCGGCTGCCTCGCCGCTCCGCCAGGGTGGAGGGGGGGCAGCTCTGAAGGCACCTCTCCCTCGCAGGGAAGGCACGGGCGGGTGGGGACAGGCTTGCGGGTGCAGTCGGACTGGCGTTGGAAGCGGATTCTGCTCATTATTAATCGTTTCCCCTTGTGCCAGCTGCATGATGGTCCTCAGCCTCAGTGTTCTCATCTGGGAAACAGGCAGGAGTGAGTGAGAAAAGGAAGGTAGAGCCCTATCGTCTGTCTCCATGCTCAATACTAGATCTGTTAAATGGGTAAGGACAGCACAGCACTTAGTGTTTTATGAAAATTATTCCCTTCAATACTTCCAGCAACTGTATGCAGCGGGCATTCGGTATAATTGTGTCAGTTTTACAATGAAGAAACTGTGGCCTAGAGGATCACATCACACAGCTAGGACACGAAAGGTTCGAAGTCAGCGGTCCTGCCTCCCGAGCCTGCGCTCTTAGCCAGTGGGGAGTCCTGCCCATGTACTTAGCTAACTCATCGTTTCTGTTAAAGTTCTTCCTTCTTTAGCAGCATAGGAGAAAATGACAATAAAGTTAGTATGATTATTAGTTTTTTAAAAAACAGTGGTAGCTTGTCAGCAATACTACAGCAGACTCTTGTATTCCTCTTGTTGTCTGCATTAAAATTGTGTGCCTTTGAACGTTGACCTTGACAACCCGAAGCAGACTGGGTCACTGGTGCGGACTCGCAGGGCGGGCAGCCGAGCCGATTGCAGGCGGGGCCAGATCATTTCTTGCGGGTAGTTTCGTGAAGCGGTGGATTTCTGAAGTTCGTTTTCTTTTCCTGGGTTTGTGCACGGCGTGTGTGTGGGCTGAGGGGTGGAGGGAAGGAGAGAGGGAACAAAAATTCCCAGGAACGGATTATGTAAACATGAGCAAGTAATTGTCTGTGGTTAGCACTTGGAGGCTGTAACATCGTGAAGTTCTTTGAAGTTTGCCCAGAACCTGCGCCACCGCCACCTGTTCCACTGGGGGCTGGGAGTTGGACGGCCTGGCTCTGCGGCGGCGGCGGCTCAAGCTGTCACTGCGCCGGAACGCTCCAGCTCGCCTTGGCCTGGCTGTCATCGCTGGCTCCGTCCCACGCAGGCGGCTCACCGGGTTCTGCTGGGCACCAGGCTTCCAATTAGAGAGAAGTCCCACTGTGTGGCCAGCCCCACCAGTGCCACTCTGAGAGGCCCCTTGGCCGAGGCCCGGACTGACCTCTGATCTGTCACAGATGGGCCAGCCCCACACTCCTTTGCGCACGTTCGGAGGAGGGGGCGGGGAGGACGAGAGGAGCCGGGGGCAGCCAGAGTGGACACGGGCCGCAGTGCGGCTCCTCGGAGCGGGGCGGAGCCGGGCAGCGTTGACAGGACGCACATGCTCGCGTTGTGCAGGGAAGGGGACTCGGGGAGGACCCCGTCCTGAGCCCTGAGCTCAGCATGGGGCATTTTCTTAGCGACTTCTGAATATTCATCTCAGGCTGGACTCCACATGTGAGGAGAGCCAGGAGCAGCTGACTGGCGCGCTCCAGAACTGTCACACCACTGGGAGCGCACGGCACGCCCGCGTCCTCCCTGCCCTGCGGCAGGCGGCACGGCCTGTGCTGCGGTCGCCCCAGCCTGGGAGCCCCACTCGCCCGGGGCTGCGGGCAGCAGTCAGCCGTAGCCCTCGCCACGCAGTGTCCATCCTGCAGGGCGAGAGTGTGCGAGGAAGCCGAATTTCCATTAGCCTGAGGAATAGGATCTTAGAGAACCTCATCTCTAAATCTTCAGCGGGATAGACCCTCTAGGCTCTGAACAGCTTTTTTCTAGACGGAGCACTTGCTGCATGTGGTTCATCGTTTTGGGGGTGGTGTGTGTGTCTTCTCTGTTTCCCGTCAGCCATTTCTTTCCATTTTATCCCTTTAACCACTCTCTTTCTCCGCCTGTCTCTCTCTCTGTCCTGTTTCCTGCCTCTCCCTTGCGTACTTTCTCTCTTTCCAGGTACGGCATCTGTAACCCCCCCGTCTGGAGCAGTAATACAGATGCTAGACTTGGAACTGATACATACTCTGGGCTTCGCTTGACCAGAGCAATCACAGAGTCTAAACACAGAATAGCCTGCAAGTGGCAAGGGTCTTCCCAGCTGTTCTTGAAATGATTCTGCATCTCTCTTCAAAGTAAAACAGGATTCAATCGTTGGAAGCAAAAACGAAGATCTTTTCACTCTTCCCTCCTCCCTGGGATTTCTCCTCCTTTTGATGTTTGCAGTTGGTTGGGGAGGGCTAGGACTCCCTGAGCCCACCTGGCCTTTTCTCCCGACCCATCTCTTTCCCTCTGCCCCTCCCTGCGGTCTGGTTAAAACAAAGAAGCCCCCCCGCCAGCCAGCGAGACTCATTTGGGAAAGGAACTCCTAGCGAAGTGTGTTAGGTTGTCCCCACGAGGAGACGGGCTATTTCTGTACCTTTAGCTGGTTGCCACAATTAAGCAAAGTGCTGTCTCTGCCTCTGTGTTTGCACGACTTTGTTACACGGGTGGAAGCAATGGCCTTGGGTCTCCTTCTGTGTCTGTATGTCTGTCTCACACGGAGAGTTCAGAGGAGGGCAGTCTCCGAGACAGCACGGGAAGCGTCCTCTGTGGAATCAGCGCCGTTCTTGTGTTAGACCTGGCAGGGGAGGCCCTGATCTCCGACCCACTGCCAGGGAGCCTGGTTGTGCCGTAGGTGAAGGATGGCCTTCAGGTGCAGGCTCGGGGGCACGCAGACTGTGACGGCTGCAAAGACCGTGAAGAGCGAGTGCACGTGTGGGCCTCGGTCGCGAGGGGCTGTGCTCACAGCGACATTCACCTCCTGGCACCACCTCCTGGTTCCTCCATCCCTGGCCGTGGCAGCTCACTTACTGATTCCTCCTCTTCCCTGTCTTCTAATGTGAGCACTGCCCCCACTGCTGTCTGGGACTCTCTCCTCCTTTCTTCACATTGCTCCCGGGAGGCCCACTCCAGTGACCCCAACCCTGGAGTGTGCATCAGGATCGCCAAAGACATCCTAGGGAAAGATGCAGGCGCCTGAGCCCTACCCAGGAGGTTCCGTTCCAGCCGGTTCTGGGGTATGGCCTGGGATTCAGGAATTGGGGACGTTCTACCTTTGACCCTAACACACAGCTCTTGTTCAGTCCCACAGTCCTCGCCTGAGAGCCCCTGCAGGGCAGGGACTGTGTCTGGGTGTCCCTGGTACCCCCAGCCCAGAGCCCCGTGGCTGGTGTGTGGAGGGCGGTAAGGAGTAAATGAGGCAACAGGAGAGATCCCTGTTCGTGCTGCTGACGGTTTTGCCGCCGCCTCTCATTGCAGATATTCTCGTGATTCCGGATCTGGAGGAAGTACAGGAAGAAGACTTTGTTCTGCAGGTGGCGGCCCCTCCCAGGTATGGCACGTTAGGTGTGAGGCTGCAGGGAGGCAGGGAACAGGTGCCTTCACGCACTCCAATGCCGGCCCCAGGGCTGCCGCGCCCGGTGCAGACCTGCATGCTCCCGGTGATGGGCTCCCTCCCCGGGTGCCCAGTTCCTCAGACCTTTCCTTCCCGTTCTGGGCCTTCCCTCGCTGCCTGGGAGGCTCTGGGGACGGTGGCCCAGCAGCACTCCCGGAACTGGTCCTGCCTGTGGTTCCTCCTCACATTCCATCTGTCCCGCAGCGTCCAGGTGAACCGGGTGATGACCTACCGTGACCTGGACAATGACCTCATGAAGTACGCAGCCTTCCAGACCCTGGTGAGTGGAACGGCCTCTGCGTAGAGAGGTGGGCTCCAGGCTGCACCCTTAGGGATGTCTCGGCGCCTCCGTGGGCCTCTGAGGCCACCTGGCAATGGGACCTTTGCCAGAGGCATCGTCCTTGGCTATTCCAGCGTCTCCGAACCCAACATAATCCCGAGTTTCCCAGTGTGGGCTCCCGCCTGTTTCCATGGCTCCCCATTTGGGGTCGGTAGCTCCGCCAGCCCCAGGCGTATGCTGCTGTCCTGCCCTGCCCTCCCGATGCCGACCTTCCCCCAGCGATGCCCAGCCTGTAGGATCTCCTAGGGTTCCCGCAGTGGCCATGTGGTCCACTCCCATTTTTACTCTTTAAGAACACATTCCTGCAAATCTGGGCTTGGGAAGTCCTACCACAACCTGATCCTCCTCACTTTGCAAGAGATAATTGTCCAAAGGCCCCTTGGGGTGTGCACAGCCCTTTTTTTTCCTCTCCCTTTCACAGGATGGAGAGATCGACCTGAAGCTCCTCACCAAAGTGCTCGCGCCGGAGCAGGAAGTTCGGGAAGTACGTAGTGATGGCAGTTTCTCTCTCCCTCAGCTGAGCCGTCCCTATAACCAGCTGGCCCCCCAGGCCGGCCTCCACCTCCCTGGCGATGGGTGTGTGTGGGGGGGTGGGCGGTGGCTGTGACTGCAGGGAAGCGCCGTCCTGTGCCTCACACAGCAGCACTTCTCTCGGCAGGACGACGTCAGCTGGGACTGGGACCGTCTCTACACGGAGGTGTCCTCGGAGCTCCTCACCGAGTGGGACCTGCTGCAGACAGAGAAGGAGGACCCCGTGGGGCAGTCCGCACACACCTGAGCCCGTGGGGCACAGCAGACCACTCTCGCTGCACGCAGTAACCTCCGCTTTGGACTTTTAAAACGGCTGTAAGCCTAAAACTAAAAGAAGCTTGCAAGCAGCTTAGGATTTTTATATGAAATATTTTGTAATAAAAATATTTATTTTCAGGAGACCATTTTGGATCATTCCGTTGAAATAAATTGCTTTTTTTCTGCAACTGTTTCTTCATTTCTTTCCAGTGTGCTCTTGGAAAGACGTGTCAAGAGTGAAGGAAGCAGATTTGAACAATGTGATGGGCACTCTCCCCATCGCAGAAGGAGGAGCGTGAGGGACAGCTAGATCAGGGAGGAGGATTGGCACTCCTCCTGGAAGCCGTTCAGGCCACGGAGGCCACAGTGGTTCCCCAGAGCATCTGCCTGTAAGCACCTGGATGCAGGCACACGGGAAGTTGCAAGCGGCTGCCCGCCAGGGACCAGGGCTGGGCCTGGCGGGACGCCTTTCTTACCGTGGACTTCCCGTTCCATTGGCGAAGTTGCACTGCCTCCTTCGTGGTTAGGCGGCTTCGCTGAGGACAGCGAGAAGTGGGTGCAATAAGGTGACCCATCCTCACCTCAGGGTTTGGCGGCTCCCCTGACAGCACTGCCCTCTCACCCTCTTCCTGCAACCCGTGCCTGGGGCTCCCACATCATGTTCCCTTTGGCCATGGGCTCCCAGAGCCCCCCGTTCCTGGCTCCCATGAGATGTGCCAGCATGGCAGCCCCGAGGATTTAAACCGGCAGTGGTGTGTCTCCCCGGCTGCCCCGCACGGCATACCCACAGGCTTCTACAACACACCGAGATCCTGAGATTGGGAGCAGGGCTGAGCCATTTCCTAAACAGAGACACCTCTGGTTTGTGTTTCTCCCTCTTTTTCCAAGACATCTCATCTGAGGACAGGGACGTTTCCCCACCCACCTCTCCTAGAGGCCACTCAGATCAGGCTGTGCGGGCGGCAGCCGCTAACTAAGCCCAGCTCCTCAGCCACGGCCACAGGAGTGCGGAGTGCTGCTCCTCTCCTGCCTGCAAAGCCCTTCATTAAAATGCAGAAAAACAAAGAGGCTCCACACTTCAAAAACCCACTGGGGGGTTATTTTTGCATGACTGCGCGTGCCCTTCCCCGGTGAGCCAAGCAGGCCCCAGAGCAGGCACAGAGAAGGCTTGTCTACTAATTACAGACCCTGGGACTTAGTGGCTTTGGGGTCTCTGCTCCTCCTCTTCCGAAAGAGTCACACTTTTAGCCCAAACAGCCTCTCTTTGGAATAATTCCCGTGGTCACTGAGAAGTTTCCATCCAGGCTGGTTTTTCTTGAGCCTGCATCGTTCTGAAACCCAAAGGAGAAAGGCTGTATGTCTAGTGCTGTAATGACCCACAAATTCACCTGCCTTGGGACTCTGAGGACCTCGGAGGTCCTTAGCCAGCCGGAGCATGTGGCTGGGGTTGACTTCCTTCCTCCTTTTATAACAATAGCAGCAGCAAGATCTGACATGTCCCAAGCATTTAACACATGCCAGACACTGGGCTTGCACGTAGCAATTATCTGCTTAATCCTTGCAACTACCCGGCAAAGCAGGTAACATTAGCCCATTTTATAGATGAGGAAACTGAGGCTCAGAGAGGTAAAGAGATTGACCAAGATTTATCCATCTACTTAGTGGCAAAGCTGGAATTCAAAACCAAGTTGTCTGACACTATCGTGCTTTATCTATCTACTTTTTAATATCCTCACTCGAGGACACGCATTGGGTGGTTGCCTCTTGCACATGCCCCAGCTGGGAACCAAACCCCCAGCCCAGTATGTGCCCTGACTGGGAATCAAACTTGTGCCTTTCTGGTTTATACGACAACGCTCCAACCAACTGAGCCACACCAGCCTGGGTATGAGTGTGCTATCAAAACTTGTGTTTTGTTCCCCCTCGGCTGCCCTCAGCTTGGGAAAGAGATCTAGTTCACAGCAGTGTGCTGGGAGAAACTGCTTGCCACCCGTCCACACTTGGTCAGGCATCCATTCTCTGGAGTGACCTCGGGGCAGAGGGCTTCAGTCCGGCTTGGGTGCGAAGCCCCTCATCATGGCTGAGCTCAAGAGTCCCGGCCTTGGTGGGCGAGGTGAAGCCAGTGGACCTAGGAGAGGAACAGTTGCTAAGTTACATGAGCTAAGCGTGGACAAGGGCCAGGTTCAGGCCATGTGTGGCCAGTTCACCTGCCTGTGCCCAGGCCACGCCCTGTCTGGGCCTCATCCTTGCCAGTGCACTTGGCATCACTCTTCAGAGTTCCCGGAGAATGACAGGTTGTTCCAGAAGCCACATCCACCCAGTTCTTACTCGACATCTGAGATGCCTTCCTTACGTTCCCTCCAGTGGGATCGCCCACCAACTTCAGAGGGCCTCCCAGGAAAATGGCCCACAGGGCATGGCAGAGTGGACAGACATCTACAGGTGCCCCCAGTGTGGTTTTGTGCAGGCGTGGAGGCGAGGCGTGGAATGTCTCGGTACAGCTGTCTCTGTGTGGCGTGGTCACTGGTTCCTCACCCGTTTCTCCCAGATGGGCTTGGGTCACCTCTGAGCAGGTTCGAGAAGCCCCGGCTGGTCTCTGACAGGATCTCCCTTGGCGTCTTTGCGTTGGTCTTTCCTAAGGCACTGAGTGCCTAGTACGTGCCAGGCTCTGTTCTCATCGCTGCGGAGACAGGACCAGACCGGGCAAACTCCCCTCCCTCCCAGCACTCACCCCTGGAGGCGGGGGGGGATGGACAGACAAGGAAAGCGGTCTGTCGGATGGGACTAGAGGCTACGAGAAAAGTAAAGCAGAGCGGGGCAGGGAGTGCCGGGCGAGGCTGCAGTTTTACGTGGGTGGTCAGGGGAGGCCTCACTGTACAGGGGACATTTGAGCAAAGGGCTGATGAAGGTGAAAGAAGGAGCAAGACAGGTACGTGGGAACAGTGCTCCAAGCAGTGAGAACAGCATTTGCAGAAAGCCAGCGGGAGGACATGTGCCTGGCTTGTTGGAGGAGCAGCAGGAAGCCAGTGTGTCGGGTGGAGGGGCCGAGGGGAGAGGCGGTGCTAGGTCTTGCTGTGCCCAAGGCCTGGGCTGACCACAGAAGAGACCTTGGGCGTGTGGGGTCCACTCCCTTTGGGGACACGCACGCTCTTGGGCCTCCGGCGCTTGCCGGGCAGCCTTCGGGAAATGCTACCCAAACGGCTGCACGGCCTCTTCATGCCTCGGCTTGAAAGAAGCGAACGGTTAACGCCGCGCCGAGAGAGGGGAACAATGAGCTCTGTCTGCCACGGAGCAGAGGTGAGGGGGCCGCTGCCAGCTCCCCGCCAGGCCGGGGGGCACCGGTGCGCTGGGAAGACAGGGCGGCATTGTATGGCCCCGGCGTGGAACGCTCCCTGGACACCTGCAGCTCCGATGAAAAGCTCGAGCTAGTAGTTCAGCAGGGCAGGCCTGTGGCTGAACCTGCGGCCATCTCTGCCCCTGAGTGTTGGCTCATCTGTGCTAGACCCCAGGACACGCAGACAGGCCTTTGGAACCCCGTGCTCCGGACGGAAGCCGATACTAGCGCCCTCACAGAACACGCTGCTGCCATACACCAAGGCCTTTCCTGATGAGTGGTTAGGGGGGCTTCAGGGAGAGTGGGTGCTGGGGACCTAAATGGAAGGTAGCGTCTGCTACAGCAAGATGAGGCAGCGTAGCCTCCCAGCTCTGCCTGCCTAAGCAGTGCCGCGCATTTCTGCTGAGGGGCAGAGAGTCGGTGGGGGTGGGGTAAGGGGAGGAGGCAGGGAGCAGGGGCAGAGGACACAGATTCCAGAATCGGGCAGGCCTGGGTTCCAGTCCCAGCTCTGCCACTTAGTAGCTGTGGGTCCTTACATGAGCTGCTTCCTCTTTCGGATTCTGTTTCCTCATCTGTGAAATGGGGGTGATATTCGTACTCTCCCCTTAGCATTGTGATGCCCAGTGAAAGCGGACTGTTGTTAGAGTTTAGAACTGGAGGTGGCTAAGTAGCGAACACAGGGTAAGTCCCAGTGGCTATTTTATTGCAACAACACCTGTGTTTGGCTGTGGGGTACCACCTTCATTTCCCCCATGCATCGTTTGCCAGCCACGTATAGGATGGCTTGGCACGAGGGTTTTTCTGTCTTATTTTTATAGCAACCTTATTGAGGTATAATATGCATGCCTTAAAATTCACTCACCGAAAGTATGCAATTCAGTGATTTGAGTAAATTGATGGGGTTATGCAGCCATTACCACGTTCCTGTAGTAGGACATTTTCAACAGCTACAGAAGGGGTGTCAAACTCATTTTCACCGGGGGCCACATCAGCCTCGAGGTTGCCTTCAAAGGGCCGAGTGTAATTTTAGGATTGCATACATGTAACTACCCCTTCACTAGGGGCAAGGAGCTCTACATTCCGCCTTTACAGGCGGTCGCGAGGTTGATGTGGCCCTTGGTGAAAATGAGTTTGACACCCCTGACCTCTGGCGTCCCCCTGGGTTCACTTACAGTTCCTCCCCTCCCACTCCCAGCCCTCGGCAACCACCAATGTGTGTTCTGGCTCTGTGCACTTGCACACACAGACGGACTCATACAACATGTGATCTTGAGTGTCTGGCTGCGTTCACGCTGTGCGTTTTCGAGGCCCCTCTATGCTGGAGCTCGCGTCAGCAGCTTGTCGTTCCGATCGCCGGACAGTCTTCCGTTGTGCGGGTCCGCACCGCATCCTGTCTGACTGTTGTTCATCAGCTCAGGGACAAGGGAGTCTCCAGCTGGGGGCTGCCCTGAATAGCGCCCCTGGGGCACTCACGTGCCTGTCTCGGTGTGGATGCACGTTTTAATTTCTCCGAGGTGCTGACAGGGCTCTAAGAGTGGACTTGCTGGGTCATGTGACACGGCTATGTTTAACTCGTGGGGAAACCGCCAGACCATCTCCAGGGCATCAGCTCTGTTTGTTTGTCTCTCGGTGTTTTAGGGTAACAGGATTGTGTCCTTCCCCCCCCCCCACCTCCTTGTCTCCTTTTCGTGAGTTTTTCCAAGGTTGCTGTTCAGTTTACAGGAGGCACATTCTCCCGGTCCCTGTGCACCCCCCTCCCCCACCGCCCTTGCTCCCGTCATCGAGCTCCTCTCTGTTTTGCGAACACAGAGCTCATGCCGTTTCCGCCACTTGCCTGTGAGCTTCTTCAGGGTA